TTACGACGCGCGTGTTAATGACACGCAATGTGTATCAAGAAAGCCCCTGTCAAGAAAGGCCATGTCATAAATGAAGATGACATACATTTTTGCGTATCATAGTTTTAAATGTTTAAAATAAATACTATTTATAGATTTACTAATCTTCAAATTAAATTTGTATTTAATGTCTCATAATAGAAAATAAAATATCATATACAAAAAATACAATCCATTGCATAAAATACAATCCCTAACTATCTAACCTATTATTACATTGCTATTAAGGGACAACTTGTTTCAGATATAATGTAAAAAACAAATTCTCCATGTCAAAAAATTGGTTGTTGTCCATCGAGTGTAGATGACAAATAATGACTTGAACATTAGCTGAAACCAAAAAACTTTTATTAATCACACAATCAAAAAGCTGAAACCAAAAGCTTTTAATTACACAAGAAACAACACATCATCATGAGAAACTACTAACTTGCCCTGAATGGAGGAAGTAGTTTTCTCCAGCCAACTTTGTTGGTGTGGACTGATAAAAGTTATAGCATGACCTAGCAAGCTGCAAATAATACATATCAAAATTATTAGCAACTAAAAAAGCAACAAAAATTAACAGACCTTTTTAGCCAGATTCAGGAACTTTCATTGATGTCTCCCACATGTCTCTGTTTTAATAAATCATTAGTTTGTTTTATATATACAACTACAGTTGTAATTTTATCTAGAATTAAAATTACCAACTCACTTATAAGGCTTCATAGTTGCAGCTTTGTTTCCTTGTATCCACACTTTAAGTACTCATAGAAACTGCACAAAGTTACATTTTTACAAAACTTAATATACTGAAGATCATAACACCCTGATTTCATGCAGCAAATAAGTTATATAAAGATCATTAAGAATATTTGAGAATCATCTGCAAGCAAACATAAGTAGACAAATTCTGGGTATTAATTAGATAAATATCCCGTTTAGTTAACCTAGATAATAATCACCCAATCACACTTTCACTGTGCATAGTTAGTCTTAAAGAATAGTTGTTGCACCTATATATATATATATATATATATATATATATATATATATATATATATAATACCAAAATTTGGATGTGGACTTAGACTTACTGTTGATCCACAATCACCATCTCCCACTTTGCTGCCCCACTCATTTAAACTGTACTTAAGATGAATAATTGCTGACACTGCTGCTTCTATAGCCACCTCCTGTGCACGACCTTGCTCATTCAGCTACTCTGTTCAACTCAATACCTGACATGACATGCATTTCTATGGGAATTAAAATATAACATACCAAGAAAATAAAAACCAACAGTTTTGGTTATCGATAAGAATCAGATCAGAAGCACACAAAAGTTATAATTTGAATTGGACCGAGATAATTTTATAATCTATAGTTATTATAATTTTTTTAAATGACATTTTCTTCTTAACAAAAACAACAACCTCATCATTTTTTTATAACCAAGTCTGACATCATTTTTTAAATGGCATTTTCTACTCAGCAACAAGAACAACCTTATCAGTAAAAAAAAGTTGGAATCCAAACATCTATCAATAAGTCAAGTTTGACATGATTTCAACTAAAAATGAACTCCAACCAACTGATAACTAAACAAAAGTTACAATTCTAAAAGCTATGGATAATAAAAAAGAAAAAACATCTAAAAATGAAAAAGCAAAATCCACTACTGGGGTTTCTTGAAATTCGTATTCAGAATGAAAAAAGATAAGAAACTGTAAAACTGAAGATCTTTTTGAAGATAAGCATACGAGAAAGGCCATAAAGACATGTGCTTTGGATAAGAATATAGAAGCTTATAGTCATTGAGATCTAACAAAAATAGGTGAAAGAGGTCCTACCATGAGTATGGGACAAAAAATTTGTAAGTTTTTTTCCTCTTGAAAGAAGATGATGTCATGTCTCCCAATAATATCTCTTTATAGTCTTACTTTTTCTTGTGGTTTATGCTCTCTAGGGAACCTATCATTGATCTATCAGAACCTTAGTCTCTGGTCTCAGGTTTGCATCAAACCTGAATCCAAAATAAGTGACAGAAAAGAAAAATCTCATGTATCGGTGGGTGTACACGTAAAAACACAACTGATAAAATATCATCTTGTTTATAAATAGAATGAGCTTGTAAATATTTGTATGTAAAGTTGGTTTATTCTTCATTTCTTGCAAATTGGTAACAGGAGGGCATATACTGTTACCAACAGTCTTACAACACTAAATACACGTTCCGGTCCGGTTTTTATACAGTTTAAAACTTTTGAAACCGCAAGCCAAACCGTTGATTACGATTTCGAATGTTTGAAACCACGAGCCAAACCGTAAATAGAAATACAAACCGTGAAACCAAACCGATGTCCGGTTTCACGGTTTCAAACCGAACAATGAACACTCCTAAAAGAAAGAACAATACAACCATATGATTTACAAACAAAAATTCATTAGATTTATGCAAGTTTACCTGCACTAATACACCAAGATTATCTCTAAGATCAAGAAAGATGAACGAGACACCCATCCCTTGAAGTCTCTTCATTGCTGTCAATATTTCTCCTTCAAGTTAGTTACTCAACAATAACAAAAAATCGGTAACCTATGTGGTTTATGACCAGTTGATTTTTTAAAGGAAATCAAAAGTTCTCTGATAATAAAAGCAATTAAGCTAATTCATTAAGGTTTTTACCCGAGTTAGAACATATAAACACATGTTGCAGTCAAACAACCTACAAAAAAAAGTGATTAATGTATAGGGACAAGATGGTCTTTTTAACCCTTTTAACATCCTTTAAAAAGTTAGACAATTTATGTATATAAAAGTTTTACTGTAATTAATAACCATCATGGAAATGTAGTTCTTAATGGAAAAAAGGAATATCCCCTATACCAACAACAGTAATTATAACCAAGAGGAGTGGCAATAATGGAATATACCTGCAACATGTAATCAGGACATGAATCTTCTACAATCTAGTTTGATGCTTTCCGAGAATACTAACCAGAAGAATCAACAAGCATTATTCCACTTATGGAAAGGTTTTATGATCCTACATTAGGTACGTAATATGTTACTTCTTTCTATCTTCACACTATTTCTTTGGATTAATGAAATATCACCATTTTGCAGTTTAACTCCCTAATCGTATATTGTTTTCTTTATATTCTTTTTCTTTATTGTTTTCTTTTTCAGGGGAAGTTCTTCTAGATGGAGAGAACATCAAGAACCTGAAACTGGAATGGCTAATGAGCCAAATTGGTTTAGTCACTCAAGAACCTACATTACTAAGCTTAAGTATCAGGGATAATATCGCCTATGGGAGAGATGCCTCATCACTTCAAATTGAAGATGCAGCTAAAACAGCTCATGCACATACATTCATCATCTCACTTGAAAAAGGATACGATACACAGGTAACTAAAAACCAAAAGAGTATATGAAATTACAGTTTTACCCTTTTAACCTAATGAGAAAACATGTGTTGCTTTCAGGTAGGTAGGGTTGGTTTATCTTTAACAGAAGAACAGAAGATAAGACTTTTGGTTGTAAGGGTAGTGCTTTCGAATCCTTGTATTCTTCTTCTTGATGAGGTGACAGGTGGAATTGATTTTGAAGCTGAAAGATCTGTTCAAGAGGATTTGGATTTGTTAATGTTGGGTCGTTCAACCATTATAATTGCTAGAAGGATTTCGTTAATTAAAAATGCTGATTTTATAGCTGTGATGCAGAAAGGTCGGTTAATGGAGATTGGGACACATTATGAACTTATAGCTTCAGATGGGTTGTATGCAGAGATTTTAAGATGTGAAGAAGCAGCTAAACTACCAAAAAGGTAAATCCATATGCTCTGAAACTCTTATATTAGAGCAAGTAAATTACAAAGTTATAGTTTACTTCTTATGAGTAATTTTACTTTATGAAAAAACAATTAATGAGTTTATTTCATATCATTTTAGTATGCCTGCAAGAACCCACAACGAGACCTCAACATTCCAAATCGAAAAATATTCCACCTTACAAGAACCATCATTTCCCAAATTTACCAAATCACCCTCACTTCAGCGAGCCTCCAACATACACACAACAAGATCTCCAGATTCCAATTATAACTCACACGGATCTCCAAAAAAAAACAGTTGAAAATGGAACAGAAAAACTAATAGCTAGTGAAGTGAATAAAAGAATGGGCTTAGATTTAAATAACAAATTGGGATATGAGTGTCATAACTCTTAAGTTCAAAATAGTGAAATGATTAGATTAGATCATATTTATTATTTCAGTGGGAATAGAAAGTATGTAACATTTTAGGTCCCAATATATGACAGACATTGAATAAGAAGAATATGGGTGAGCACCTACTTCTCAAGATCCTTAACCCTCATCTCTACATCCTGACAACTTTCTTCAGCAAACCTAAGCTGCACAATATAAATTCAACAATGAAGACCATATATATATATATATATATATAAACAAAGAATAACATAATTAGAACCCACCTTCTCAAGGACATTGTCATTCTCTTCTTGTAGCATATCAAGTTGCATGAAATAGCACCAGTTAACGAATTGTACATCACTTAAGCTAAAATTGAAATTGAAGGGAACAAGAAAAGTAAAAATTTCTCAGATGGTGGCAGATGAAACACTGAGGAGAGAAGGAGGCAATCAAGGAGTCACAGATGAAAACAAGATGAAAGATGGAAACCTAGGAGAAATTGAGAAATTGTTTGATGTTTTGAGAGAAAGGGAGAGAGAGAGAGAGAAAAAAAAAGAGGGAGAGAGAGGGAAATGGAGAAATTGATCTCGAACCAGATGTATGAAAAAAACCCTGGTCGATTTGAATGTCCCTGCAAACCTCCGGTGATTCACGTTCAACCCTAATGCCTCTGAGAATAATCTGAAAAGTACGCCTCCGAATTTCATGACTTGATTTGAGTACTCGATTTAAATGTCTCTGCAAACCTTCGGTAATTCCTCAGGCGGCGTAGGTGACGGAGCCATAAATGAAAAAGAAGGTGTCTCTCCAGTTCAAGGTAGGGGAACTATACAGATCGTAATTGCTGTTATACACTAGTGTACTCGAAAGATCCCTCGTGTAAAACCATTTCTTTACCTCTTCATCTTGTTCATGAAATCTACGAACTGCTGGAACCGCCTCATCCATAACACTCACAGGAATCCCATGATTCAACACCTGAAAAATACCTAGGTTCGCGGCGGCTTCACGAATCATCTCCACCATCGATGCTCTATGGGTCGATTGAAGGTATATGACTGGAATCTTGACAACAGCGGTGGATATTTTGGGAGTGGTGTCCCGTGGGTGGAAGAGGATGGGAGGGATTTTCCGAATTCCGGCATCGACGAGGCCTTTGACGCCTGTTTTTTTTGGTCGAAAGCTTTGAGCTCCGATTGTCGATCGTAGCTTGAGCTGACTCAAGCAATGGTGATAGCCATTTTTGTGAAGATGATCGTGTTATATATGCGAAGGGATTCTCTAGAAATATGGGTGAGGATCCTTGCAATTGTAGACTTATGAATGTAAAGTGTTCGATTTCCTGTGAGAAATGAAGCAATAGAGATTGATCTATTTAGGATGTGGGTTGTTCTTTGAGGGATGAAAAAACCCTAGTTTCTTAAACTTTTTGAGGACCGGGTTTTCTAATTTTTAGATTCCCGCGAGGTATTAAGGAGGGTACACGATGTTTGATGAGATCGATAAGCAGTTCAGGAGTGGCAGAGAAGCAGACCGGAGATGAGAGAGAAGGAGGGAGAGGGGAGAAGATGAAAGATAGAAAGAAGGTAGAAGAAAGGTTTTCAAAATTTTGAGGATTTCGTTTTCCCCTCTACTAAACGCGCGTTTTCATTAAAATTATAAAGCAACAAGTATAGAGGGCGCGCCTTTAAATTAAAGCACCCTCCGTGTTTTTAATTTCTTTTCATGAGACACTAATTTAAGGGCACTTAATAATGCGTGACATAAATCCTTAAATTTTTTGAAGATATGACACTTTTTTAATGTCACTCTCTTTTGCGTAACATAAATCAGTGAGTGTCATAGTTTGCGCGTCGTAAAAGGGTCTTTTTCTTGTAGTGTAGGCTATTTCCTTATAACCATATTAAAGCATGGCTTCGTGAATGAGGCCTATTGTTGATTCGACTTAGTTTTCTTATACATATAGTAATTAAACACTTTATATATGTATAAGGTGTATTTTAAGACTTTTTAAAACACAAGATTTGAATATTAATTATTTAAATTAATCATATAACTAATTAATCAATTTAAACATATCATAGAATTATAATGATCTTTTTAATTAATATTATAATTAAATTTATTATTAAATCCATAAGGAGAATTTAGTTTAATTAATCTTATGATTAAATATTATTTAGTCAAGATTATCTCCAAATATTTAGGATTTTATTTTTAATCAAATAAAGTATTTAAAATTGATTTCAAAAGAATTAAAATCAGATCATCACTAAAAACAACCCTACTAATTAGATTAGGCAGAAAATCCTGAAAATAATAAATTTACTATTCTCACATCGTGACAGAAGACCACGTTGTGATAAACAGGTTTTTCAAAAACATTTAATTTTGTTCAATTCATCTAATGAACTTTCAATGTTAGACAGCCAAACGTTCTGATACCACTAATTGGTTTTATAGGTTATAAATACATGTACAATGGGAAAAAGACACTTAACAATTAAGAGGACACATGCAACCTATAAGGATCTATGTCATAACACTTTGAAGGCAACATAATATGAACAACAAAACTAACATGCCCCTAACATAAACGAAATCATGAAATTAGGGTTACATACCTTTGATTTGTTGTAGTAAACAAATCACTTCAATCACTTGTAGTTATTGGTCTTGGACAACTCAGCATTAAAATGATGATGTCTCTAATGGCTCATAGACAAACCCTAGAACTAGAAGACAAGAGAGGAGAGAGGAGAGGAGGAATTTCAGCGACAATATCTCCTTAGAAAATGTATGAACGAAATTAGGCCTCATTGGGGGGGTCCTATTTAGAGTGCAAATGTCATAAGGGAAACCCAAATTTGACTTTAAAGTAATAATATTTTATCTTTTTATCTATTTAAATATGGTAATTCTTATCAACTTTAGGAATATTCTACAAAAAACCTAGAATCCTTCCAAAATTCCGTCCACCACCTATGGGTTTTAGAATCTTCATTTCTTGCTCAATTAAGAACAATTACAATTCAAACATTGGACATTTAATTAATTATAATTAATCCAGAAATTAATTTCAATTAATTCTGATTAATTCTAAATTAATTCTTATTGATTTCATATTAACTTATTAAACACATAATAAATTAACAAGTCAATTATCCATTTCTAGTTAATATATTAATCATATAATATGTTAAAAAAATCATTTATTATAATTTATTAATCATATAATAAACTAATAAATTTCTACTCTTTCTACAAATGTCATTACAATAAAGTTCTAGCTATGAGGGCAACCCAAAAAGGATTTTTCTTCTAATTACAAGAATACACCAATTTAGTTGTGAGCTTTGACACCTTAATCTAACATGTTTTACAATCACTTTTTGTCATGGGCGAAACATGGTTTTTCTTGATATGTACCAAAACATAGTCTTTCATACAAGTATCATGGGCTAAACATGGTCTTTCATGGAAGTCACAAAGGTAAACAACATATCATGACACATAGTATCTTACAATATGGTAAGAAGACTCATCTCACAGTCAGTCAGACAATCATCACAACACGCAGAAAAGTGAAGGTAGGTACAAAAACCACCTAAACATGTAATAAAAGGTCAAACCTCAACCTTTTATGCAAAACCTTAAATTTTGACCAAAAGTCTAGGTTAAACTTAGTCAAAAAGTCAACAAATTGGTCAAACATGCGCCTTGTGTCCCATAAGGATGCGTTGCACCTACTAAAGGAAAAAAACAATCAGGTTTCCCAACTTAAACAAGCACATTTCATAAAGCTTTGAAAGGCGTGCTACAAATGTAAAAGACGAGTTACGTCTAGACCCTATTCCTATGGCAAAACGATTTATTTCATTAAATCAACCCCCAAGTCTTCCAGAACTGGTCCTTTATAGTGTTTTAATGGATTAAGTTTCCAACTTTATCCATTAAGCACGCCAATCCAACAAGATCTAAAGTTGAAACATCAAAAATACCTAAAATGCTAACACAAATTGCATGGCTTAGAGGACATGCACAAGATACCAACTTTTCAAGTCCAAAAGCTCCATATAACAACCCTAAGTATTCAAAATGAGCTAGATTCATCTTGTCACACCCCCAAACCAAGGATGGCGGAAACGTCCGAGGGTGGAGGACTTCATGTATAGTATCATAACCACAATTGCAATAGTAATTTAAGCAAATACAACCAACATATATATAATTGAAAAAGTTACATCACTTGTATGAATTACATGTTTCAAAATCAATTACAATATGTTGACAGAATATGAAAAGTTTGACGCCTTAACGTCCCATCCTCAAAAGCACTTGGTTACCTATTTAGTGATTACCTGAGAATACAAGTTGTTTGAAAAAGTGTCAACACAAAGGTTGGTGAGTTCATAAGTTTTTGCTTTCAAACTTAATAGAGGTCTTTCTCTTGTAAATGTCACGTTTGTTTCAGAAAAATCCAATATTTTCCTTAAAATCTGTGTAATGTAGTCTTATAATCGAAGACCAAAATGTATAAGTAACCTCTCTTACTTAGTGGAAAAGCTATGAGTTTAAATTGACATAAAAAGTGATTTTAAATCGACATAAAACCCATTTAGGTTTTATGAAAATCCCGTAAACTTTATGTATTTTTATCTCCCTATATGAGTCACTATAATCATACCATGACTAAATGAACCTGCCACGATGTTTCTCAGGCGTCGCGAAACTGAAATGACATTTGTCACCCGTAGACCTGCAGGTCCCACTGTAGCTAGCAACAAGGTGTGGGGTGTCAAACCCAATATAGATCTATATACAACTATCACGTTCTCCCTCCAGGAGACTCTGATTATAACTACCAGGAATTATATCCCGCACTCGGACGTACGAAAAGAGATTGTCTCACAATTTAGGTTAACAAGTTTACGTGTAATGTGCGTGAGTGTAAAACCTTTCTATATGAATGTACCCTTTTTGTACAAGTGTGTTATGTGATGTATCATAAACTATACCTATTATAGTTTATCCAACGTTTGTAATATATAAGAACTCTTTTATGAAAATGCATTAGTGTTATGAATCCATTAAACTATGCTTATTATAGCTTAATATACGTGTTCTAAATGAATGAATAATCTTGTCATGAATGACTTAGTTTCAGTTTATGATGATAAACTAACATGGAAACACATTCAATAATTAGAACTTATGATTAAACGTTTTGCTCAACGTAATACAAAGTGTTATGAAATTTATATGTTGTTAACTAACTTTAACCTTTCTGCGCTGTTTTAGAAAAGTCATAGAAAAATCATACGAAGTCGAAAACTAGATCCGTAAATTCTAAGAGTTCCCAAAATGTGTCTAGTTTACTCATAATTTTATCATGATTTTTAATGACCTCCAACTTAGGTGAAAAGGTCCATAATCGCAGACTGGTCCGGTTTGGTGTTTGTAATGATAGGCAGTTTTGTAAAAATCACCATAAATTGTAGAAAAATCGTATGGAGATGTGCAAGTAGTAATTTTGAAGCTAAGAACTTGAAATACTTGCAACTTATACAGTTTTGAAAACAAAAATGTTTAAGTTGTACAAAACAGTCCGTGAATGGAGTTGAACTTTTCTGATGAAGGCTGTTAGAAAAGTTTAGTTATGTTCTTGGTGTTTTAACTTGTATTCCCCCCCCCCCCCCTTAAAACTTGAGAAAACATGATAATGTAGGGGTATGAACTCACCTTGAGTGATTTCAGAAGATGGATGATGGAGAAAAGAAGTGTTCAACCCAAGAACACTTGAAGAAATCACTTGAAGATTTGAAGATCTAACAAGAATGTGATGATGTTTGTGTAAGAAATCAATGATTTGAGTAGAATGATGTGTAATAATCACAAGGAGGATGAATTATACTTACCAAGGGGAGGGTAAAGCTTGAAGATCAGTCTTGGAGTCTTGGAATAGTGAGATAAAGTTAGAGAGAAAAGTTGTGTTGTATCTTTGGTGAAATGAGGTAAAATGAAAGAAGTGAGGAGAGGGGATGGGTTATTCCAGCTCTAAGAACGTGGGAAAGGCTAACAATTGAGTGGGAAGGACATTGAAGTGACCTAGGTAAGGTGGGAAGGTGTGGCTGGTTATAGAGTGGGTATGAGGGTGGTTGCTTGTGTCATAAGGTAAAGTAAAGTCAACACTCCACCTCAATTATTCACCCACTATATTTTTATTATTTAAATAGGGATTTTCATGAAAATATGATTAAATTATGAATATTTAGGGTTTATTATGTTAAAATATAATTTCTGAAGAAAATCCCGCGTTAAAATCACGAAAAACGGGCTTAAAATGTTAAAAATATCAAAAATGGGTGAAAAGTGTCGTTTTTCCGAAGTCTGGCCGAGGTTCGGTCCTCTGGTGCAAAGAACCGAGACTAGAAGGGGGGAACCGAGAGGAGAGAAGAAGAACCGAGAGAGGGAAGGGAAGGACCGAGAGAGGGCAAGGAACCGAGAGGCGGGGAGAAGAGACCGAGAGGCGGGAGGAGAGACCGAGAGGTGGAGAAGAGGGACCGAGAGGCGAGGCTCGGTCTTCGCGAGTTTCGGCCCTTGAGGCTTCTCCACTCAGTTTCGACTACTGAGTCTCGGCTGCTATAGGGTTTCGGTCCTAAGAAGGGTTTCGGTTCTAAGAAGTGTTTTGGTTCCTAAGAAGGGTTTCGGGCTCTTAAGTCTATTTTACTCGTTTTTACCCCGTTTCAAGCCGTTTTTGATCCGGTTAAGGGTTGGAATGACCCGAATGACTCCAAAAAGTTACGGAAACTTTTGAGAGAGATTTGGGAGAGATTTCACATTCTTGGAGAGATTTCTCATACAAAGAGAGATTTGGGAGAGATTTCACGTTCTTGGAGAGATTTCTCATACAAAGAGGGATTTGGGAGAGATTTCACATTCTTGGAGAGATTTCTCATACAAAAAGAGATTTGGGAGAGATTTCACATTCTTGGAGAGATTTCTCATACAAAGAGAGATTTGGGAGAGATTTCACATACTTAGAGAGATTTGGGAGAGATTTCACATACTTGGAGAGATTTCTCATACAAAGAGAGTTTTGGGAGAAATTTCACATTCTTGGAGAGATTTCTCATACAAAGAGAGATTTGGGAGAGATTTCACATTCTTGGAGAGATTTCTCATACAAAGAGAGATTTCACATTCTTGGAGAGATTTCTCATACAAAGAGAGATTTGGGAAAGATTTCACATTCTTGGAGAGATTTCTCATACGAAGAGAGATTTCACATTCTTGGAGAGATTTCTCATACAAAGAGAGATTTGGGAGAGATTTCACATTCTTGGAGAGATTTCTCATACAAGAGAGATTTGGGAGAGATTTGTAAATAGAGAGATAGAGTGAAAACGATTAAGAGAGCTTTCATGTGTGGCATTTGTGAGTGTGGGGCTCCGCAACGCAAGGTCCGTGAACTCCGTTAAGCCATGATTTAGGATCTTTCACACTCCCGATGAGTATGTAACAATGTTTCCTCGTTTTTGTTCATTGTTTAGCACTAAGGCTAAGGAAAATTAAACACACGATTTTTGCAAGTGATGTTTTCTCATTAAAATAGTGAGTTATATAGTATTTACATAACACATACCCTAATATACCACGTTTAATTGAGTTGATCGGTTTGACTTGATGACTTTGATTGACTTAGACTTGATCCGAATTTTACTATTGTCACACATCTCAACTCCAATCTCACCACCAAAATAGGACCAAAAATGTATAAAGTGGACAGTAACCAAGATCTAGCAAGTAAAAAAGGAAAGCTTGAAGATTTTTACTCACAAAGGTCCAAGAAATGTGCAAACTTGTTGGATCTACACTTGCTATTCACCTCAATGCTCTAAAGGAAAATTTGATCTTCATGCACAAATCAAAGAAATAATCAAAATGGGAGGAAAAGGGCTAGGGTTTCTGGAAACACTCTCTAGGGTTGAAGGAGGTTGCAAATGATCAAACCCTAAAGACTTAAGTGTGTTTAAATAGTCCCAAAACCCTAATAAATCATTCATCCCTTAGGCCTAGGCATGTCGCAACAAAAAGAAGCGGGTTGCGCCCAAGGCGATAAATTTTCAATTTTCAATTTTTAGTGAATAAGCAAAATGGAACCAAGAAATCAAACATATCGAGAAAAAGATCTTACATTTTCCCTCCCATTTCCTTATCTAACCTCTTAAAAATCTAGATCTTAAAAGCTCGTATCCTGCAAAACAACCCCTTAATTTATCAGAAATTGATTAAAAGGTATTAGAGTTAAGTTGGATAATTTTATTGGACATGTTTTAGGTTTGTGTTAGTAAGTGTGATGCAAGGTCGTTTATGCGGGTAGTATTTTCCATAGATATTTTCATGGGTGATGCATTTTCTGAATAAGTCACATTTAATTTTTCTAACTCTGTCATTTTTAGTTGGGTGAGCACTTGTATGTTTCTAATAATATTGTATGATTGATATCATTTTTATACGTGTTCATTTATCCTCCTATAACTTATAAGAACATGTTGCCCTCTAATATGACAAAGCACTTCTATTTTTTTCTTGTATTTGATATACTGTGTTTTATAATTTGCTTGGTGTAATATATATATATATATATATATATATATATATATATATATATATATATATATATATATATATATATATATATATATAGATGCATTAATTCAATGAATTTTTTTTTGAGAAATAGTTTTGATATGGGTATATCTTTTAAATGTGTACTCAACGCTTTTAAAACATTTATGAGTTTCATGATTCTATATACCTATACATTAGATAATTATTGAGATTAAGATCATCTCCAATGCATTGAACTCATATGAGTTCCATGGATTGACACATATACATTCCACTCAATATACAACTTTACCCATTAAACTCTACACTCCATTAAACTTTATATAATTTAATAGATTGTCACATCATTTATCATTTTTTATTTATTGTTAATTTTAAAAAAATTAATTAGCATCAAATTAAAAAAACTACAATTAAAATTAACACTAATTTAAAATAAAAAATAATATATATATATATATATATATATATATATATAT